ATTGAAAGTCAAAAGTAAAAATATAAACGTGTATAGAAATATTGCCGAGTTTTAAAACTATAAATAAAAAAATGAAAAAAAGATGGAATTTCATTCAGCGGATAAAAGATGTCCATGAATCTATAACGCCCCAACGATAAAATTCCATAGTTCTGATTAGAGTTTCCGCTTCATTTTGAAGAGACGAATAGTTCTCTATAGTTTATAACAACCCGCTCAGAACTACTTATTCAATCATGAAGTTTGAAAAGAAGTTAGCATCCTCCATTAAAATTTAAATTTAGTAAATTAAAAATTGTTATTGAGCAGAACTCTTGTTATAAACTGTAGGGACCTCTTCGTCTTTTCAAAATGAAGCGGGAACTCTAATCGGAACTAAGGAATTTTAATTGGGGTGTTATCTTCACACACGTGCCTTTAGCAAGCACTCGCGCGCAACTATTCTCCGCATGCACTCCGTTATCGAGCCTGAACGTCCGGGTCCTATAAATATGCCCTATAGAAATTAGTATTATTCCCATTTCAATTACGACAGCAATATCAATCACCATTCCATTGAAAAAAGTCAGTAATCATTGATCGAATTCTCTTTAAAATGACTGTTAAAACGTCGATTAATGTTGCAAACGTAATAAATATATTAGCGACTACGTTTCAATTTGCGAGTATAATACAGACACTTGTAACACCGTTTTAAATTGAAGTGCATAATAAAATTTGTAACATTCTACAAAATGTTTAAAATATATTATAAGTATATTCGGGATAATTATTTGAATATGATTACATGCTTGATTTTATCGATCCATCAAAACCACGTGGAGTACAAATTGTAGAGTATATTATGGCTGCATGGAAGAAGATGACAGATGATTTTAAATCTAAAGAATGCATTATTGATAATGATAGTTAACTTCAGTTATAAGAGAATACTTGAAAATCACACTGTGGAGTTTTGGAAATTCCTGCGAGATAATAACGTTCAGGACATGATTTACGCTTGCAAAGATTGGCAACCTACAAGATAGAATATTTATTTGCATACTAAATAATTATTTCACACAATGATTATCAATATAAATATTTGAATAATTCATATATTCATATATTTATTCATTATTCATATATTTATATTAACACTCATAAATTTATATATTTTATATCAATAGCCGATAATACTGACACTCTTCAATTATCGCCGAGCTCCTCCTTTGATGATTACGGCCCAGGATTGATCTTTAATACTCGTAGTATATCTTTAATCTCGTCGGTGGTGTAATAAACTTACAAAAGCAAACTTAGAAATTCGTTTTCAGCAAAGAAAACGAAATTCTCAAAAATAGCCCTCTTTATTATACTTTTAAAGACTTTTTTTTAAAGACTTTTCCTCAAACACGAGATCTTTCAATTCGATTTAGTTTTGACTTTTAAAGCGTGTGTGACAAAAGTTTGTTCGCTTAATCTATCGCTTCCTGTGCTTTCTAAAGAACTAGCGTGTGCAACGTACAATGTACGTGCCGTCCAAATTATGCGTGACGAAATAACGCACGTACACCCTACGTGGCACAATCGAGTTGGTGAACCGCGTAATAATAGACGCGCGAATACGTTCAACGAAAACCTCTATTTCTATCGTCGATACCCACGAGTTAGGGAGCCGACTTAGAATAAATCATTGCAGTTAAAAATTGCGTCACGCGAGATCGCGACACGCGCGACTCCGAATCTGTTCAAGTGTAACAATTAATTCGAGTACAGCGCCGAAGATTTCTCCTCCTGATCGGAGCACGAATAAATATCTATTAAGTAGACTATACGTTCAACTTGAAAATCTCGTGGAAGTTTAGAACAATACAAAAGTTACTTTCACTGCGCCGATAAGATTACTCCATATTGCCGCTAAAAATTATGACAAAGTAAGTTTTTATAAAGGTAACTTATCGAGGAAACTGAGTTGTAATTTGTTAGTACTTTAGCATACTATTTTTGTCTCAATAAAGTCATTGAACCGTTTTTCGATATTATTACTCAATCTTGCTGCAAGATACAAGATGTATACCCCGCGTAGAACAACATCAATGATAATCCAGGTCGAAATGATATTGAAATAAATTATGACGGATCAAAAAATGACTTTTAATAATCATTTTGAAGCTATTTTAACGTTATCTCGATAGCACGGTTCTCGTTCTGCTTAGATCATTGCACAGTTTTTTCAAATCTCGAAATCTATTATTATATCTTGCTGGTTGTAAGGTTTGTATGTACGTAACGAATTTTTCGAACTCTTTGACATTTCGATAGTCTCGCTGTTGCGGATTGCATTGGGTACTTTTCGCAAGCCGCACAAAAATGTCAGTATATTAAATATTTTTCTTTTATTATCTTTTTCAAAACGCATAAATTTGCGCATAACTTTTTAGGAGAGGATATACAGGGTCTCCAGAAAATCGCCCGCAATACTTCGAGAAGTGATTTGGGATCCAAAAAGAAGGTATAAAAGCTACACAAACATAGGTTCGGTAATGAGTTGTTTCCGAGTTATAGCCACTTATTTTATGTTAAAATAATCGTAAATAAATCATAATAATAAATTATTATTAATTAATATAATTATGACAATAAAAAATAAATTACAATTTTTTAAAGTTATAGTTACTTTTATGTTAAAAAATCGTAATTTATTTTTTATAATCATAATCATATTAATCACAATTTATTACAATTATTTTAATTTTAAACAAAAGTAGCTATAACTCAGAAACATCTCATTTCCAAATCTGTGTTTATATATAGCCTTTCTTCCTTCTTTTCTGGTCCTGAATCATTTTCTAAAGTATTGCGGGCGATTTTCTGGACACCCTGTATAACATACAAAAATCTATTTTAATTGGGTGTTATCTAAGATAAGGTAATTGCTTATAAAACGCTATTATATGCATGCGTGTGCTAGAATAAATAACAAAAATGCTCCAAAATTAAAGGACATATTTGGCATTTATAATCCTGGCGAAAATAAAAATCGAAGCGTAAAGTCGAAAGAGGCGAAAATTAGGTCAACAAAATGTAAAAGAAGCGTAAACGCCTCTTTTACATGTTTCTTTGTCCCAATTTTCGCCTTTTATTAAAGAAGCTTCGTTTCACACTACTGTCATTCTCTCCACTCGACTTGTGCTCCAATTGTTCGTCATGGGGGGAGGGGGGGGGGAGTTTAAGAAAATTTCAAAGATCACAAAAATGATGTAATTATTGCATCACGAAAATCACGAGCAAAGTCCATCGATGCATGCCGTGTGTGTCGCCCCAAACGAGCCTAAATTTTTACGAAAGAGGGGTGGAAGGTGGGAATTACGCTCGCGACTTTCGCGAGACTGATTGTGGGTTGATAGTGTCAAAGGGTACGAAAAATTCGCTCGCTCGACAAATGCACTCTGGCATCGTCCTAGCCCGCGCACAAATCGCGCGCTATCACGCACGAGGCACGTGCGAATCGTATGCGACGAAGATCCTAGGTCCGGTCGTTCGGGTCGCGCGCGCTCCGCCGCCACACAACACATAACCTGTACGGGCGGGGATGGCGAGCGACAAGGTGACTTACGTGTTACGCCGGGACACCGCCAAGGAGATGGTCGTCCGCCGCGTGTCGACGCCACCCCTCCGGTGCCGTTCGCTCCCCTTTTTCAATCAACCCTCATCCCGGCACTTGATCGCGATCAATCGCGATGCTGTCGCACCCACATCACACCGCACGCACGCACGTCGCACGGCACATGATATTGCCGCGGTGCACAATGGCAGTCCGGCGCGGTGCGACGAACCCCTTTATTACGACATCTACACGACATATCGGGAACGCGTTGCGTCACGTATTGATCGCGGCATCCTCGCGGGAATTAGGTCGGTATGCACGTCTTTGAGCCTTTCCGAACTGACAAACACGTACCGCTCAAGTCGTTCCCGCGCGATCGAACGATCAACGTTGAATATCATGGTGACCATGATGGTGGTAAAAACTGGCGCTTGACCTTTCAATGACGCACACCTTTCTGTCCCTTTTACTCCAATGTAGATTAACTTTGAATCTCAGTTTAAATCCTCGCGGTCCATTTCTACCAATGTGGATTAATTTTAATCTTAACTTATTTTGTATCTTTTTCTAATTCTAAGAATTGGAGAAAAAAAAGATAAATAATATAAGTAAAACTGAGATTAAAGTCAATCTACATTGGTAGAAATTGACTATTTATTCTTTATAATTTTTACAACTAGAAAAAGAGATAAAATTAAACCGAGATCAATGTTAATAATCTACGTTAATAAAAATGGAGATTAATGAATTAGTCGACGCTGAAAATCAACATTTTTTAAGATGCTCGAAAATATCATTTAATATTCAAATTTTTGAATGGCATAAATTATGTTACCCGCTTATGAATGAATATAATGAAAATTTTACGCGGCAAAACATATAAAAATTTGCTGGACAGACTCTATGATTTTGCCTACATAATCATGCAGATGCGTTTCTCTAGTCAAGAATGAAAGTATCGTTCTACTCCGCATAAATATTTATGCATAATTATTATTCGTAAGATTTGTCAATGCGCGCTCTCTAAAAAAATTGCATCTCCTCTGTCCAATCTAAAAGTGAAATGAAATTACCGAGGCACATTCGACATTTAAAGTGACAACGGAGACTTCTACAGCAAAAGCGTTTTATAATTATGTATGTGAAAAATTCCAATTCGCAGACGCGTTTTTCCAGTGCAAGAATAAAAGTATTATTCTATTTTGCATAAATACATATATGTTTACGATATTATCCGTAAGATTTGTTAACGTGCGCTTTTTAAAAAAGTTGCATCTTTTTCTGTCCAATCTAAAAGTGAAATGAAATTACCGAAGCGCAGAGACTTCTGCAGCAAAAGCGCGTTGTAATTATGTGAAAAAATTGCAAATCGCAGGAACGTCGTTTGAAATGCGGCATTATAAATGCAATATTATATAAATTCGAGTACACAACTCTATATTTATTTAAATGCATGATTTAATTGCAACATAAAAAGAAAACTCGATAAAAACGAACGTAATTTTAAGTCGCGAAGGCACATACATACGCCGTTACTGTAGAATACTTGTAACGATAGAGCAAAAGTAGAAATATTTCTATCATCACGTTTATTATATCAATAATATTATGTATGGCGTCTACATGTATAAAACTCGCGGATTAGCTGGATTATCACAGGAAAAAAAAACCGAGCGATCCTTAATCCCTCGATCCTTCTCAGTTGTGAGTGGCGGTCGATCGTTGCGCTTCGCCCGAGTGCCGGTTCATCATCGACTCGACGCGGTTCGCCGTCTCCCGCACCACGTCGGATATCTCGTCCGGCAGGTGGTCCAGCGTCGGGATGTGCGCCGACAGCCTCTTGTAGACGGAGTCCCTGCTGCCCCCGTCCTTCTTGTGCCGTCTCTGCTCTTCGTACTTGAGCTGCTGCTTGAAGAATATGGCGTTCTTGATGAACTCCAGGGTATTCTCGAAGCTCTTCCCGGCGCCGTGCATGGTGCGGATGGCGCTGACCGCGTACTCCACGTCGTAGCACCTGCCGAGCAGCTGCTGCTGCAGCGCCAGCACCTCCACGCGTTTCTCCACCATCGGCGGCAGCGCCTTCCTCACGTGCTCCTGCAGCCTGTAAAACGCGAGCGACGGCTCGTTCGCGACGATGTGCATGTTCTCCGATATGCGCTCGGTCGCTGCAACAACGGTATTTCGTCACGTGAATTATACTATTAATTTTAATTAACTTTAAATCTTGGCTTAAATCTTCGGTTTTATTATTTTTCTTTTTATAATTCTTAAAACTAGAAAAAGATAACAATATTGATATGTTTCGTATCAATATTGTTACATATATTACACACGTATCGAGCCCTATTTTTATCTGTTAAAAAAGTGGCATGGGATTGTCGAGTCTATAATTCGACACGTGCAGTGTCAAGCAAATTTTCAAAACGAGATAACTAAATTAAGAGAGGTACCAAGACGATAACACTAACCCTTCTTGACTTTCGTTTCCAGCTCCTGATCGGGTTGATACACTTTCGCAGCCATCGCTTAGATTCGTCAGGCCAAAATCTCGCAATTTTAAACGTCAATTCGACATGTTGAGATGTAAATAATTATTCTAATCACGCAGCCCACGACGGACGTAAGCGAAACATGTCGATGTCATCGCGGCGTTGCTTTAATAAAGTGGACATCCATTTCTTTTGGAATACACTCTTCTGTCTTCTTTGTTTTCCTCTTCCCAAGATTCTTCTAAATTCGAATAATAATATCTACGGTCGAAGTAAGGGAATCACATGTATTATTGCACTCTCGCTGCGCGTACAATCGGGCGACTGTCACGATCAGCTGATCGTGTCAACGGCGTAGCCAGCTGCTACACCTGCTCTTTGTATGTACACTTCACTCTACCCAGCGGATAATTTCGTGTATTTGTCAAAATCAGCAGAGAAGTTGCAAGATTCTTTTGCGACATTCTTTTTGTTGTAATAACAAAATTTCAATACTTATCTCTTGTATGTACTCAATATTGAAAACATTTTGTAATCTGGATTTATTATATAAATTAATAATATATAGTTACATCGAAAAGCTATAGCGAATTGCATTAAGGAGCTCTCACGAAAATTGATTTTGTGTATCTACGTCGACTATAAAGTCAATTTAACGAATTATGATTTTTTTTTTGTTAGGAATGATAAAAAAGTTATTCGAGTTGACGGCGGGCACAAACGGTGCGCCCTCGCTGCCGTCGCCATCTTTGGTTGCTTACAGCGCGTATACCGGAAGTAACGATGTGTACGCGGACCTATCATCCTGTGTCGGAAACGTGGCAGCGGACTGGGCGCCGTTGGCACTTCTCGCGAGTGTGTTTGTGTACTCCGGTGGCTCTGCCCGCCGTATGGAGCGATCGGCGCCGAGCGAGTGACACACGGGCAGGCAGGGATCGACGTTTCGCGCGAGTTTCTGAGAGACAGTGAGCGACAATACTTAATCGACCGGTCGTCGAACGTCCGACGAGAAAAGACGTGAGTTTTTCGCTGTTCGTTTTTCATCCTCGGTCGCGTCGCGAGGATAAAACCCGAGGATATTTTCCCTCCCGCGAGACCAGAGAGAGTGGCCGCGAATCGCACGGTAGCGCGGTCACACACGTGTTCTCTTGAATTTCTGCCCGAAACGGAGATAATCGTAGCCGTGATAATATAAGCGGGACGATTGTTCCGTGATTCTGAGATATATCGCGAAAATTTCGCACAGATTTCACACAAGTCGCGTTACCTCCGTGCGTATCTGTCAGACGGTCGTGCTCGACGTCGTTCAACCTCGTCGAGGCGCATGTAAACGGATAGATTTGTGTGAAATTGACATAAAGTATCGCGATGGACGAATCGAGCAACTGACGGCGGTGAAATCGTGCATATTGACAGCGCTTTGCAGCGAAAATTTGTCACTTGAAGCTGCTAATACGAACCTTTTGATCTTGCAGAATGAAGTGGTACGTCCTACTCGCGGCCCTCGCCGCGTTATGCGTAGCTGTGCACGCGGAGGAGGAGGAAGAGGCTGCTAGACTATTAGTCTCTAAACAGATACTCAATAAATACTTGGTAGAAAATATGGACATAGTTATTAAGGTAATGAGAAAGGGGGACGCTTCTCCTGCATTTGACGCTTCTGTATGAAGTATCTTATTGAAACATTTTTTTGTGTCTGTTTTCACACTTTTCACCAATATTTAACTGGATGGAAACATCATTAAGGTGTTCAGCTTACTTTTTTTTTCTAACTCTTGGAACTGGAAAAAGATGGAGAATAAGTTCAACCGAGATTAAAGTTAATCCATATTGGTGAAAACAGGCATTTTAAAGATTGATTTTTTGCTGAATGTTTTCTGTCAAAATGTATTATTTTACTTGACAGTCCTCGTTATTGAAATATTTGCTAACACGAACGCAAAATTTGCAGTACACTATTTACAACACCGGCAACGTGGCAGCGTTGGAGGTCGAGATCACGGACAATTCGTTCCATCCGGATCACTTCACTCACGTGAGCGGCGAGCTGAACGCCAGAATCGACCGCGTGCCGCCCTACACGAACGTGAGCCACACCGTGGTCGTCAGGCCGCGCAAGTTCGGATACTTCAACTTCACCTCGGCCGAAGTTCTCTACCGCCGCAAGGAGGATGCTCCCCGACTACAGGTCGCCGTGAGCAGCGAGCCTGGCGAGGGGCTCATAGTGGCGTACAGGGACTACGACAAACAATTTTCATCTCATGTGGTAAGTACGAATACGAACGTATATATTATTTACGTAACAATCATACAAATATATTTAATTCAAAGAGAGTTACAAAATATTACAGAGAAACAAGTAGTCTTATCATTTCATAAGCTTTAGGAAGAAATGTAATTACACGTATCATAACGTGAAAATAAATACTACAGGTTTTGTATATTACAGAATTTACTTAAGATATACTTTACTGTTCGCACATTTTTATTTTCTCTCCGTGTTTCTCAGTTTATACTACAATATTCGATCTTGTCTTTTTTCTTTCCAAGATTATTATAAATTATTTTTTTTCCATTATGTAAATGTATGTTACGTACATTGCTTATAACAAAATTACAGTAATTATTGCCTAGGAGATCTCTTGTAGTCCATTAAATATCTATATAGTAACCTAACTCAATCTATGTATAATCTTGGAGTTTAGTTTCATCGCCTTACAATACAATCCCGTTTTGTTGTACCTTACAGGTCGATTGGGCCGCGTTCGCCGTGATGACTCTACCTTCCCTGCTCATTCCATTCGCCTTGTGGTACTCGAGTAAATGTAAATACGAGAAATTGCTGAAGACCACGAAAAAGCACTGATTGTATATTACATCGTTTCCAGGAGTTTCTAGGTCACTTTATAAATTTTCCTATATCATTGTAAAAAATACAACTGTTCCACTACGTACATCTACTTTTGTATAATAAACGTGATATTTATGAAAATCATGTCGTATCTTTTACAAACTTTTTACTTTTCTGTCATCTGAAGAATAGAAGTATTACGGTTTATTATCTAATCATCTTGAGTTTCGCTTTTTTTTTCCTGTTTTACAATGGAATATCTTTCTCTTCTAAAATTTTTACATTATATTTGGCACTAGAAATCCTACCCGGGTTATTCACTTAATAAGTCAGCGATTCTAAACTATCCCCCTCCCCCCAACGGCTTCAATATTCAACTTAGGAGACAACTTATTGAGATTGTTATGCTATACATATATTCTACAAATGTGTACATATCACAGCTTCACAAAATATAAAAAAATAAGGTTTCCTTTTTCTGTGGTAATATGTAATATATCATGTACATCGAACAACAAATTGGCAGTCATTTTATTTACGTAAACGAAAATATGACTAGGAATTGTTCGTATCATTATTAAGATGAAAATAGTACACACACACACACACACAGAGAATCGTGTACTATGGCAATGTTAACAGCAGACTGTTATAATCATACTTAGCACACGTACGCATACACACTGTCCCAAAGTTACACATAATACCATATCATACCACGTATGCCACGTCAAGCAAAGATATAACATTTTACAAAACAACCAAGCTTGTTTTCCTTAATAAATGGAATTATTTCCATGTATTAAAAAAAAATAATAAAAAATAAAAAACGGATGACAATTTTGGCTTTAAGGCACGACATTCGGCAATGATTATTATATACATTTGTAATGAATGAAAATCATTTTCAATGGAAAAACATCAGTCATCACCTGTATCAGTTGCTTTACGTTGGCAAAACTTTTCAATTCAATTGAAATTGAGCATGAATTTTCTCATCCTCCATTTAAATAATGTTTCTTAGTGTTAATATCGAAACGGACGTTATTTCCTAACGTTTAACGTTATTTCTAATTTTATCTTTGTGTCAACAGTTCAGAAAGCTGATCTATACATTAGATACTACTCCCTTTTTTCGCATGTAACCTCTCCTCCTGCTAGCATATATCTCTTCGTCTGATGTACGGTGTGCCGAAGCTACGCGGATCGCCGTAAACTGACGACTCGAACGCTGAGAAAGGCCTTAACGGCGGAGTTCGCGGGCCGGTACTCGGGGTAGTGGTCGTCGGAGGGGTGCACGGTGTACAGATCGGCTTCCTTATCATCGGCGGAGATTTGTCAGCTATAAAGAACGATCACAGATGTTATATCGAGGGGGAAAAAAAATCATCGTACGACAAACGTCGTAACATTAACGTCAGCGAGTGAAATAAAAGAAGTGGCACGTACCGAAAATACCTCTGTTCCTGACTGTTAAATCAACAGTCATCATTCTATATTTCCACACTGAAACAAACAATAAGACATTAGTAATACTAAACAAGCTAATATTAAGCTTAAAAAATTCGAATATAGTCTTACAGTAAAAAATTGTAATCACAATAACAACGAACACTCCCAGCGTGTATCTGTGGAAATATATGTAATTCACCCATTGTACTCCGGACATGGGGATGAATTGACTGTACCTCGCCACACGTATGTGAAGCTGGAAAGAAACACGTGATATAAAATAACGATTGTAACGTCAGCCTTGCAAATGCGTTTAAAAAGCGCGCATACAGATATGTTTACTTACAGATATATTTTGCTTGGTCAAATCGTTCGCAATAAACACTTTTTGCCCCTGAATCTCATCCTGATTATGCATTAAACGCAATCTATATTGCATTGTAGATTTCGAGACAAGTTGCCAAGTGACAGCCACACCGTCTGGTACGTCAATCTGATAGAAAAAAAATGTTAGTGTTTTATAAATTAAAAAAAAAGATACGAAAAATAAAAAAAATATTAATATTTAGCAAATATAAAAGATTTTAAGCTCTTGGTATCCCATGAGACCTCTAATTCCAATAAAAAAAATACTAAATAATTCAATGAACTTAAAAGATTCATATATAAATTCTAGTTACGTCGTTTCTTATGCGTAAGGGTAACATTTTTATAAATTTTGAAGTAAATATATATTTTTTTAAATTCTTAAACAAACGACTTACAGTCAGATACTTTAACACCGCCGGCAAGCCATGCACCACGAACGTCATCGATGGCACACCACCAGGTGTGCTTAGGGCGTCGACAAACTGTATCTCCTTGGCGTCGACGTAAACAGATGGCAAATAAGCGAGTTCCAGAGCTGCCGACTCGATGTCCCGACTCTGGACGTTAATTTCAATACGGCTTTCCAATGTACTGGCCGCTATGGTCGGAAAACTCATCGGTATGATGTCGCAGTAATAAAAGCCTGCATTCAACAAAAGGACGAGTCGATACAACAAACTTGTCTTTATCTTTCATTTCGCGTGCAAACTGTATGAGACTACACCGACCTGTCACGATATCGAATCGTGGCTTCACGACGAACAGATCCTTCACGCCGATCGACGAACTCGTTGAAACGAACTGAACGTTACACGCGTAGGGAAACGTGTTCAATGCGAACGACGATAACGTCCGACAACCGCCTAGGCCTCTCGCCAACACGTTGTTCTCCTTGATCTCCTCGTCCTTGCCCTTCAGCACGAGCGGCACGCTGAAGATTTCCGTGCCAGTGATGTTCCTTCCTCTCAAAGGGACTATAGATACCTGAAACAAAAAAATAATAATTTTGTAACCGATGTATCGTAAAACGAGTTATTATGGCGTTATAACTCTTTCAGGCATGCCGCCGACTCAGTGCTCCCGTAAAAGTGAGAATAGTGAGTTTTGTACTCGAAAAAGTGAGAGAAAAGTGAGTCAATATTAAAAAAAAATAAATATATTATTTAATACATGTTATAAACCAATGAAATTAAAACATTAAAAATTTTAATGTAATCTTTTTCAACACGAAAATAAGTTTTACGCCAAATATCATAGTACAATTGTAAAAGTAATATCACATTTTTTAAGTTAAGTTTTTCTGATAAAGTTATTAGCTTATAATCTTGTCGGAAGGTGCATTTTGGCTTTATTACTCATTGTGTCGCTATAGAATCACTTGCAGAACACCTGAGAAATAAGATGTTCGCACGAGACACGTTCGGATAGCATGCTGTCAGCGTTCTCACATCATTTTATCTTTGTTTCACGTCTGATGAATGAAAAAGATGAATAATGTGATAACGCTGACAGCGTGCTACACGAACGCGCTTAGCAAAAAAAGTGAGTCTTCTTCAAAAGAATGAATAAAATTGGGAATAGCGAGTCAGGGGCATGCTTGCTCTTTGTTAGATGATCAATTACCCGTGCGACCGGTAGAACGTTGACCTCTATTTCACTTTGAACGTGCGTCGCGAGGCTGTGCTTTATGACGGCGTGCCCGACGTTTCGGGCGCGACCTATGCCCGTGATGGGATCCACCAACAGTATTTCGGGCGCGGAGGACTGCCAGTATCCTGGATCACCGTCGGACGAGAGAAGCGGCATGGAGAAGCATATTATATCGCCGACCGTCAGGGTGGTCTTCGTCGGAAATATGATGTCGCCGATCATCATGTGAACGTAGTCGAACATTCCATTGGGGTGTTTCTCGTTGAAGGTCTTCAGGACTAGCTCGCCATTCTCCAGGAATCTGGCGGCGATGACGTTATCCGTGCCCGCGGTGAACGAGGCCAGATCGGCGCGATTCAGCATGGCCTTGACGTTCGTCTCGGCAGCGTGGAATCGGTTTCCCACGTTGTCGTAATACTCGACGACGTAATCCAGCTCCATCCCCTTCGGCAGCATATTCAGCTCCTCGCCGTTCCGTATGCGCAGCTTGGATTTCAGAGAAAGCATCATGTAGTGAATGGGCTTGACCTCGACGACCACCGTCAACGACTGCCTCAAGTTGTACGCTTCCGTATTCGTAACGGAGATAACCGTTTGACCGTAGTTCTCGCCGGATCGCACGATCCCGTTCTTCTCCACGGCCACGGTTCTCACAGCGGGCGTCAACGCGCGCGGATCCTCGGGCTCGTCGCCGTGCGTGCTCGACAGGACTCTGTAGGTAGTCGTGCCGAGTCTATCGCGATTGGTCTGCAGTCGCAGAACGGAGTTCGGTGACATCAGTATCGTCGACACCGAGCTTCCCGACGACGGCAATGGATCGGTCAGGCGTAGCTCCTCGAAGATCTCGATCTTCACGAACGTGGTGTATATCATGTCGTTCTTGCTGAAGCTGGAGCCGTGCATGTTGCAGGGCACGGTGGCGTTCAAATAGATTGTCGCCACGCCCGGGCTCATGGCCCGAGCCCGCAGCGACACCTGATTCTGATATCGGATGTTGATGCCGGTGCCTTCGTACATGTTGTGCAAGGTCAGCAGGCCCGGATCGCTCGACGACCACGCGAAACTCAGCGGCAGCTGCATGGAACCGATGATGAGCGGCGTCAGGTAATCGGGAATACCGAACGCCCAGAGGGGAAACGTCGCGCCCACTCTCACCCTGTTCACCGGAGTCGAGATCTTCACTCCGTCGAGATGCAGCACATGTATGTCCGCACGATCCTCCGAGTAGACCACCTTGTTACCCTTGGCATCGAGTCCGACGGCGCGCACGCGAATCCCAGTCAAGCCCGCCGACTTCCCTTCGAGGATCCCGTTGCGATCGACGCGCAGGACATCGCCGCTCTCCGTCGAGAATTCGATCTCGGCGTTCGGCGGGCCGCCGACGGTCTGCATCTGATAAATGGTGCCGATCAGTATCGTCAGATTCCTCGGCTGCACACGCAGGGGGACGAACACCTGCACGGTGATCGGCTCGCTGCGTATCTCACGGTCGCCCGTCTTAACGAACGTCAGCTGGCTCTCGCCCTCCGACAGGCCGTGGATCTTGTACAGTATTCGCTCGTAGGGCGCGACGTCTTGCTCGTTGGCGGGCAACTGCTTGATCGTGATGTATTCGTTGTCGATCTCCGCGCGGAAATCTAGCGCGCCAAGAGTCGGCAGCCTCACGATGTGATCGTTCGTGTCGTAAAGCCTCAGCGCGGCTGTCACGCATTTCCCCTTCTCGATCTTGTCCACGGTGTCGACTTCGATCGCCGCGAGTTGTTGAACCTCCACGTGCACCTCCGCCAACTTCGAGGGTAGGCAGAGATCCATCAGCGTTATATGTAGCACACCTGACTTCCTCGGCGTCACACTGATCGTTCTCGTCGTATCCATGTACCTGATATCCGCTATGTCCTTCGAGCTGAGGACGAATTCGTAGTAGCCAGAGCCTTGGCTGACCTGCAAGTACGACTTCATGCTCGAATCGTTCAGAATGATCAATTTATCGGGGCTGACGACGGTGTCGTTTACCAGAGTCGCCTCTATGGAGGCCTCTATCAGCGGAGTCTCCACTCCGCCTCTCTCGTTCTCGATGGGAAACGGCGGCCATTCCGGCGTGATTTTCAGTCGGTTGAGAACGAGCTTCTGGTAGCCGGTGACGGTCGCAAATATCGTGAGAATGCCGTGGTGCTTCTTGAAAATGATATTCTGATAGTGGCTCATCGGCAGTATCACATTCACGTCCGTCCACGTCTCTTCCATCGTGCTGGACTGGATTTCCACGGTGCCGCTGCCCGACGGCTTCAGGTTCCACTCGATGTTCAAGCTCGTGATATTGTCGAACCGCCTGCCGTCCTCGTCTTTGACGATCACCGCGATCTTCAGACGCTTGTCGCTGTGCGCGATTATCTTGTCCGTGTTCTGACCGATCGGGCAGTTCTTATCGTGCGTACCCTTGAATTCTGGTTGCAGGTAGATGTAGCGCGGCTTGCCGCAGACAATCTCGATCGTTTCCGACGCGTGGGTGCGCCGACAGTTCGAGAACAGCGGCACATTCGACACCGTGTAGGTCAGCGCGGTTTTGCCCAACGTCTTGCAGATCACCCTGAAGACGGCCCTGTCGAACGGTCCGCTCAACGAGTCCTCGTATTCCGCCACTTCGGCGATCTCCTCGTCCGACAGATGTATCTCCCGCGAGTAGTCTTGAGATTTGTTCGTCCACGGCAACGGTCCGCCCTTGAACACCACGTATCGCGAGGATCCCGTGGCGAGTAACGTTTTCCTGCTCTCCGGATGCACCGCCGCGAGCGGCTCGTACGCCGACACGGTGACGTTGTCCGTCAAATAATGGTCGATCACGTCGTTGTTGTTCGCGTTGTAGGCAACGGTCACGTCGGACGTTCCGACGGAGCGATAGTTGGTTACAGTTATTACGGCGCACGCGGCGCCAACGGGTTGCACGTTCTTGTCGTAACTCCGCACGAAATTCACGTCCGGGATGTGCACCTCGAAATCGACGTCCCTGCAGTCGCTGAAGGGTATCTCCTTAGCCTCGGAACCGTTGATCAGTAGCCCGAACAGCGCGACGTGCAAGTGAATAGGCTCTCCCACGGCCGCCTCCATGTTGTACTCGATAATCTTTAGCTTCACGGGCGGCAGTACGTGTATCCTCGCCGTGTCTCTGTTGTACTGATTTCTCGCCATCGTGACAACCACATCCGCCGTGCCCGCTGACAGAATTTTCACACCGCCGTTCTGCGAGACGGCCAGTATCGACGGCTGTCTGCTGGACCAAACGTACGAACCGTCTCCTCCGCTCGCCTTCAACATCACGTCGAATCTAGAACACGATGATAGAAAAAAAATTAACGATAAAACAAATCTAGGATTATTAATCCTTAAGCCTTCTGAGCAACGATTTCTCTGTACTTATACCTGGACTTGTTCACGACGTCCCACGGAATGGCCAGGACGCGAGGTTGAACCTTCACCGGCGTGTGTATCGTGAGCTCGGCCCGGGTGGAGAGCTGCGGCTCGAAGGCGATCCTCCTGCCGCGTTCGTCGATTATACCGCGCAACGTCGCCTCCACGGTCGTTATTCCGCAGGTGATCGGTACCACGACGGCGTAAGTGCCGTTCTGCGTGATCGCTTTCGGCTCCAGATACTGCTCGTCTATCTTCATGGTGACCTCCACGCCTTCGCCGATGTGGAATTTATGATCCTTGTTGTCGTACAGCTCGACGACGATCTCGTGAGCGTGGCCCAGTACCAATCCCCAGTTCCGGTTTGGCAACACGGAGAGGGAGATGTACGCGACTTCGTGTACGTTAACCATGGCGGAAGGCAGAATGACCGGATACTCGTCGCGGACATTCTTGTCGTGCAGGAACACCTTCGTACGTCCCAGTTTACGCCCGTAGGCGAAATCGTGGTCGTTGTCGATCTCCAGGATGCCGGAATTCTCCGCCTCCAGGTAGTACTGGCTCATAGGCAGGCTGATCTCCTCCAGGCGACCCTGACGGGTGTGCATGATCTTGTATCGGAAGCTGTCGTGAGCCATTATCGTTATCTCCGGCGGTATGATGATCAAATTGGCGATGACGACCAGCTCCAGTTCGATGGACGGGACGTACTTGTACTCCGAGTGCGGCAGTCTGACGGACACCTTAGCCGTGCCGGTTCTAACGCCTTCTATGAGGACGATGTGGCCACGCTTGTCGGCGCTGTCCAACGCGGCTATGCTCGCGGGTCGTTCGTACTGCGACTCCTCGTAAGTCATGAAGCGCAGCACGTTGCTCGTGGCTGTACTGTCGGACGGCGCGTGCTTGTCGGCGTCGCCGATGGCCCACACGAATTCTATGCCCGCCAGAGTCGTAAACTCGTTCCCGTGCTCGTCGTACGCTCGCACCTCGAACGCCTCAGGTATGTCCTCGATGTACAATTCTCGCGTGGTGGTGATGAGATTCAGAGAGAAGATTGCGTCCACTATAACGTCGCATCGCAGAAAGTGGCCGGAATTGATGTCCTCCGCCAAAACGATCGCGGTGTTCCTCGTCAGGTCTCTCGTTATGGTTTGAATCAGTATCGCGGGGGAGCATGTTCTGTCAAAGTTCTCGTTTATGGGAATCAGCTGTATGATGTCCAAACGTGAGGTCGACCTATGGAAAATGTCAAAGAAAAAAGAAACAAATAGAGAATGGAAGATTAGAAAAATAGAAATATATCAATCGAATATTTCGGAGGAATTTCCCCGCAGCGAAAAATTTATCGAATGTAAACAAGCATCGATATAAATTCTTAACTTGATTAAACTTGAAAAATACAAGTATTATTCGAGTCGACAATTCAAATATTTAATTGCCTGTGTTTCGATATAATTCTTAATTAATTATAACTTGATTAAACTTGAAAAATACAAGTATTACTTGAATCAACAATTCAAATATTTGCGTTTTGTTCCAAACAAAACAAAAAAACAGTGCTACACGTCACAACTGTCACATACACGCAACCTTCAATTCGCGGGAAAATTGCTCTACATCACTACGTCATCGATCGTCAAAAACACGGACGCCGAGGACGACCGGCAAGCGCGCGGCGCAGCCCATGTGACGGAAAGGTTAATTTCACGCGCTCCACGGAGATAAGAGCCGCTCCGCGCGATATCGCTCGATCGCGAGTCCGGTGACGCGTGCGAGAGACGAGAGGGAAAAAAGGAATGCACGGTCACCATTTGTAGCAGCCGCCGTCCGTCACCTCCAGCGTGAAATTCACCGCGAAGTTGTTGAACACGGGCAACAGGACCCGGGGCACGTTCAGTCGGTGCGTCGCGGAGACCGTCGCGACGCGGAACGCCGCGACGAGGCCGACGAGCAGCACGGCCCTCCGGAGTGTCGCCGACCCGAGCATCTGATCGCTTTCGTCCACGCGGGAATAACGCGCGGGATGAGCGGGATATTTCGGCCACCTTTGCACCCTCGAATGCACCACGAACTGTGTTTCAAACCGTGAAAAACCGCCAGTCCACGCGGGAGCGTCGATGAACGGGATTTACGAGATGCATATATCGAGAGAGGAGGGAACTCGCTGCATCTAAAGCCTCATACACATGCGCGCTGAGAAGACCGACTGATAAACTGAAAGTAAAATGAATGTGATTGGTCGAATTTTTTTTATGTATAATACATTTTTCACACGGATAAATTATCTTCAATTTGTCAAATTATTATATCTACATTAAAATATGCCTGTAACGGACACGTTATAATGTGTTTGCATTATTTGTGTATTTATTTCAATATATATAGTTTGCCGATACTGTCAGAAATTTTTAATTGGTGTAAAATTTCTAAGATTCAAATACATCTCTGTGTTGGACAAAGCGCGTACACGAAGGAAGAGTACAATTATTTCCTTCTATTGCTGATAAATGATTCCTAATGCTATTCTCACTGTGTCATCTACGATAATATATACTTTAATATTATATATATATATACACTATATTTGTTCAGACTTGAACCTCTCTCAATTTTTGTTCGAAATATTCCGAACGAAAATTGAGGAAGATTATATAATTAGTTCCTTCCTCAAATATAATTTAGAACGAAAAAATTGAGGAAGTTGTTTCCTATAAATATTTAGAATAAAAATTTAGGCGAATTATATTAATTGAAATTCTACCAATTATAGATAGCGTTTAATTTTAATTAATCCTCGTGTGCCTCACATGTGTATACATGATTGATCGAATTCTGGTAGAATTTCATACACACAGACTTTACAATATTATAAATATACCTACACATATACATATTATATATACTTCCATATACCTATACATACGCATGTGTGTATGCCATGTAATAACACATATGTAATTAGCGACCTAACCTACGTCGGCTACGTCGTCAGTCGCCATGATACGCTTCTCCTGACGGTCCGTGATGTGATATGATGATGATGATGCCTCGTCGCGATGCCTCCACCTTCCGATAGCGTTCGTCGTCGGCGGCGGTTATGAGACTCGCGGAGCGTGCGAGCGTGCGAGGGGATCCGCGATGCGGGATCGTGCGATCAGTGTCTCGTGATGACTGTGATGAGCGCGGTAGCCTATTGCGTGCGGCAGCGTTGTTGGTGTACATACCTGTATATATAGATCTCTCTCACCTTTCCTGGCAATGCGTACCTGACTAATTAGCACGCCCTTAAAAAATTGCGCCACGTATATTATAGAGAAAAAAAAGTCGCGTCGACGCACGATCATGTCTGCGCTGCGGAAGAAAGCGGGCCGGAGATCGGCAAGAGAGGCGAGAGCTGACAATCTTGTAGGAGGTTAAGTTGCTCTCCTTGTTGTACACACCACTTGTCCATATGTATTGCAAATTTATCTGTCGCTCCGCGCCGCTGTGCAAAACTTATCTAAAATGCAGAAGGACAAACGTTCTTTCACGTGCCCGCGAAAAGTTTAGCTAAACGTAACAATATAGCCTTTATTTGATTTTAAATGTAACTCGAGATAACGTAAATTATGTAGATATCAATTTCTTCTGAAACATTACAATTGGCATAACAAGAAATTAACACTTAAAATAGAGGGCTTTTCGTAATTTTTAAGAAACTTCATTTCTTGTACCTTGTAAATAATATTTTGATCGACATTTTACAGCAGACGTAACCATTGACGACTTCGCTAATACTTTACGGTTACATGCAAGGTTCAAGAAATCAGTTACAAATGTCTCTAATGAAGGTTAGAAAATAAGTTGTCTACATTTTTTTAAATTGAAGTGAAAAATGCAAGTATGATATTTTGTTGCTTAAAGTAGTCAATATTTCTATTGGTATTTGCGCACGTAAACTCTCAATTCCTTGTTCTTTAAATTTTATTTAGTGAATTTGGAATTTTGTTCAGTGAAACAGAAAGCAGCTAAACAAGACGAGAAATCAACGTGGGATGAAACGGACGAGGAGAACCTCATGAAAGATAGTACGAAGGGCAGGAGGAATAGAAGAAAATCGAAATGTCAACAGGATAACGATGAAGAGGAAGGTAAAAAAAATGTTTCAATTAAACACTTTTAACGATTGCATCAAGGGCATGCAAAGTGTCAATCATGTATGATGAAATATGACAAAACTATTACGTTTGTTGAATAGGAGTAGACTATCCGCTGGATATATGGTTTATTATATCAGAATACATACAGCCTGAAGCGGTAGGAAAGTTTGCAAGGATTTGCAAAAGTTCTTACTATGTAACTACCACTGGAAAATTTTGGTTTCATTTGTACAAATTGTAAGTATTTTTTTGTACTGTGTCATATAATGACATATGATCCAAAATCTATGAATTTTTTGGGGTGAATTTATCTAAAGATTATTTTTAAATTATTATCTGTGTCTCCAATACTTTTTAGATAAATTGATAGTCCTGATATACATATATATACACTTTGATCACATCGTGACTATTTTTCAGAATATATTTAATCTATAATGATAAATCATTGACTTATATATGATAATGATATATAATAAATATGATCCAAGATCTATGAATTTTTTGGAGTGAATTTATCTGAAGATTATTTTCAAATTATTGTCTGTGTCTCCAATACTTTTTAAATAAATAATGATAGTCCTGATATATATACACTTTGTTCACATCATGACTATTTTTCGGAATATATTTAATATATAATGATAAATATGACTTATAATGCAGCTGCGTGACTGTGCAATAATTTGTAAAATCAGATTGTGATTTCAGGTATTACAAATTTGTACCAGATTTACCAGAGCGCCTGCGACCACAATGTATGAGGTTACATGGACTGAGGGCTAGCGTTATCAGGGCATTGCATTACAGCTATTTTAGAACGTCGGAAGGGGAAAGGGACGATATGTCTTACTTACGACAGGAGGAGCCGCATTCTCTCGTGAAAAGAAAATGCACTCTCATGTGGCATAAAGTAAATTGCGAATAACTCTTTGTCCTCATTTAAGCTTTAAGCAAGTAAACTGTATAGCCGATATCTTTTGTATATCTTTGACAGTAACTATGTATTATAATTATATTGAGCTTGTGTCATTCATTCTTTCACTTCACGCTGCAAGTGATAATACTCGAACAACGTGGTGGTGTGTTTTAGGAAGGAAAAGTACGATGGTATTTCTACTTTAAGCTGAAGGAAATTTCCAAAACGCGCAACAGCTCGTTAAAGTCAAGTATACAGTGCGGTGTTAAAAAAACGGAATTTCTCGAAATGTTGGAGGACGTGGCTGTTAATCCCGAAGATGGTTGCAAAGTGCTCAGGGTATGTAAATTCCGTTCTCGTGGAAAAAATTAAAAACATTTTGTTTGTAGTAATATATCTCAAAATATTTAACGGGGGATTTATATATGTGTGTGTGTAGGTGAGCTGCTTAAAGTACAGTATGTTACCACCGGTGATCGGATTAGTCCTGCAAACAGTGTCTATGAACTTGATGCCTGGCTTTAGAGAATATCGGCTTCAGCTTGGATTCGGAACGTCGGATGTTCCCAGTACACTGACAAATCAAATAATCCTTCGTAACGTTATCGGATGTAGTATCTTCAATTGGTGGGATTCCGCCTATCCTCATCAGGACGTGGGTTACACGATCGAATTACCGCAAAACGACTCGTGGGATTAGAATTTGTTCTTAAAGATTACTCTTATATTTTGTGTATTAGAGAGGGGGGGAGGGAAGAGAAGCTTTAAATTTTGTAAGAGAAATATATTGACACTTGCAACAAATGCAAAGTTGTTCGAATTAATACCTCTTCTTTTTCACCGATTATTTCGAGAACGATTCCGTCGTAACGTGATTCGAGAAAATACGAGACAGTGTAGAAATAACGGAAATTTTGTGCAAAGATGCTTTATGTACATTTTGTATAGAAGGAATATTGTACAACAAAATAAAATTCTTACATATGATTATAAATAATGAATATTTAACTCGGTTACTTGATACCAATTTGCTTAAAACGGTTCGCATTTGAGATGTTATTCTACTTTTAAAGCTTTTCAACTTTTTACAGTCACTTACTAATTGACGGTGTCTTTGAGTTGTTCCTGAATTGTACATTTTGCGACAATGATTAACAATTATTGCTGGTAAAATTTTATTTCTTAACGGCTGCTTCTACAGCATCTACCAACTCTTGCAGATAGTGTATGTTGGCGGTCGAGATATTAAGATCTTTGACCTGAAAGATATAATTAGACATGAAAACTTTAAAATACGCATTTATTATATTAAATGTAATATTTGCCTACCATATTTGTGTAACCGTTCACATCCACTTTAAGTTGAATGCGTATTTTTTCGTCGTCGCTGGTTCCCTGTGGTTCCGCAGGAAGAATTCCGGTGGATTTATCACGAATCTTCTTCAACCTCCTTAAACTCTCCTCAGTCTTTTGTACAGACGTCAGCACATCCGTAACGAATAGTAAATAACTGAAACAAGATTCAATATTGCTGCTATATACGCACGATTAATTTCAAATGGTTTTGATACGTTTTCAGATTTTTTTTTTATATAACAATACTGCTGAAGAAATAAATGTATTAATTACCTTTTTGTTAGCGAGGATAAAGTTAGCTCCAACCAAAGAATAATATTTTCGGGAATGATCTTGCTGTAATCCGTATAAAAATTGGTGAGGGGAACCATTGCGCTCTTCACATAAGGACAAGGTTTAGTCGGCACGTCTCGCTTTGTCCTTCTAAACAATCGAGGAATATCGCTGACTTGCTTCAAGTGTGTCACACACTGCTCCGAGAGCTCATTCACGATTTCTTTTGTAACTATAGGTAATAGATTGGTTAAACTCTTCGACGTTTCACCCAGAGAGTCTAGAATCGATCGACATGAAATGAGTTTAATATTTTATGACAATAAGATATTACTTTTATATATAGTTCTTCGTGCGCTTTACCTTCTAACAGTTTCGATATTGTAACATTCTCATCTTTAATTTTTAACTGTACCATTTGCAGGAAAGATGGTAGGGCATTTATCAATTTTTCCACGTCTATGTACAAATACACTAGAAAGTTTAATCTCGTCGAACGCTCCGAGTCATTTGAATTATTGGTTTCGTTTATCACTGGCCATACCTTTAAACATATAACATTGGTTATACTTTCCGTTTATATTTGTCTTAAATTTATACACAAATGTCACACTATATGTAATAAGCTGAATGTGAAAACGTACCTGTTTCATTGCACTCTGACACCAAGTTTGATACCTCGAGCTTATTTGAAGGCTGAGTTTCCAGAACCTGGCGGTAATAATGAAACGCGTCAGTTTTATCAACGTATTGGAGTTGCAATGGGAATGATTATCACAGACAGAATTATAGAACGGTTGCTCACCTGTGAAACAGCTGATACAAATAGACATCGTCGGCCCAAATCCTTAGCAGATTATCCCAAACCACATCGGTAGCATGAAGCGAGAAATCCTTTCGCGTCAGAGACGTCAGATTACCTTTGACCGAATCCGGCGAAATCGGCTCGGATAACACCGCCTCCACGGTGCCGGCGATCTCTTGAAACCGAATTTGAAAGTACACCGGCAAATTCCACTTCTTGAGGAAACTCTTGTATTGCGGATGACCCCTCAGCGCCGCCAAAATTTCAGGCGTAACGCACTCCGCCTCCAACTTCGTTAGAAACTCTAACGTAGCCGTGTACCTCTGAAATCGCGATAGTTATATATATATATTTTTGTACCTTAAATCCCGACATTACACAATATCAAATATTTCACTTACTTTATGAAATAGCACCGGATCTCCCGGGGCGAAAATGGACTTTATATACTGCTCGATCTTCTCTTCGATTTCAACCCAAAAGCTGTTCACCAGAAAGTTAAATCCCTTCACGGACATTCTGCAACGCCAACACAATAATTAGTTTATTTATAAATATGTTAATTGCACATAATCAAATGTAATTCGTAAATATTCACCTCTCGGGATGTAACGTGATGTCTAACAGCTGTTTCAATTCCACACTCAAAATATTCAGTAATCTATGATAAATACTTTGGAGGCCAAGCGGGTCAGTGTGAAGATTCTCCTCGTTAACCACGTTGTAAATTAATGGCCTGACCAGCTCGTGCCTGACTAGCTCTTCGGCGTTTGTTATTTTGTCGAGCGTAAGATAAATTCTAAGGCAGCGGATCGCCAAATGTGAATTCTTCTCGTGTATACACGCCAGGAACAACTCGTTCAGGCATCTTAGATACAGCTTTTCTAACTCTACAGTTTCCTGTCGCGAGACAATCGTTTTAGTTTTTTTTTTCTGGCCGTTAACACGTCGTCACTTCATTTTCCCAAAAAATACGTACCTTCTGTTGTTCAACCGAGATATCTGATTTACACCTAGACATGTGGAATTTTAATTGATTCAATTCAATCGCGGCCTGCTCCAGAATATCGATTTTTGTGGGGTTCTCCATAAACGTTTTCATGCACAATATGGAGGAAAGTTTCCTCAGGGACTTGTACACGTGTTGCAAGCTGTGCAAACTCTGCTTGCGTTCCCTCATCTTCAGACTGTCATTTAAATTGGCCGAAATGGCTGTAACTTCATCATCCAGAGCTTGTCGCACTTGCTGTTGAAAGGAAAATTCTGTTTCACTAAATCGAAATAGATATCTATGTAAAATAAAATTTCGAGCGCCGATCTCAATTAGTAAAATATATCTCGTTAAATCTTTTAACATTTCAGATACCGATCCCGAGTGTACTTTTCAATCTTTACCATAACTTCCTCCTTCAACTGTCCAAGCGGCGCTTGCAAATCATTGATGGCCTTGTCCAGTCCGATCAAATTGCTGGACAGGTTCACGAAATCCGTGTAATCCCTGTTAATCAGATCGATCATAGCCGACCTCAGTAACTTCAAGTACATGCCCAGGTCGTCCCGCATCGTCTCCAGTTTGCCATCCTTCCTGTGATCCTGCAGGAACGTGTCGACATCGAAGTTCTCCTGGCGAGCGTCAAGCACGGGGTGAGAGAAACGTTAAATTTATATTTTGTGAATACGATAAAACGGTTTTCAGAAAGCACGTTCGAACCTGTACGAAATCGAGCTCGGAGAAGCACAAGTCTTTCGGAGCTTTCGGCAAAGTGGCATTGTCGTTGGACATAATTATACGACGTTTACACCTTTCTCTAGCTCGATGATCAATCGGCAGCTGTCATCGCACCGTTGCGAAAGCACCGAAGCGTACGCCCCAATTATTGCTCTCAAAATCTATATCTATATTCAAAATCTCGCTGCCGCTGATCTCGTAATTGTGACGTGACACCCATGACAGTTCGATGACGCGGGATTGAGGTTAAGGGCCGACCACTGAATCGAACCACAGTATAAAGTGCACAGTGTAGAACGCAAATGGGAGGTGCAGTGCAATCACACCAACTGTCCCGGACTAACCTATCCCTAACCAGAGCCACGTGTGTATGTACACACCTACAGGTAACCACCAGTAACCACCTGTGCGGCACATCGAGTTCAAACAAACACCGCGACACTGACCGACTGACGAGGGACTGCATCACTCGATCAGCTGAGCACACAACACAGGAAGTTGAAATCCATAAGCAACAAGAAGAAGAACACACAACACCCCGCACCCGAAATGTGCAATCGGTGCATCTCAGCGAAATCGCTTAAAGCGATATTCCACTGAAATTGAAAAGTGTTTTATCGATTTCGTGCAAGTTCGGCCGATCTGCCAGCATCGCCTTAAATATGTACTAGTATGTACGCAGCACATACCGCAAGAAAGACACATATATTAATGTTATTAATATTTTTTTATTTTCTTTTATAGCATGGATATGTTAGATTTTTTTCCTATCAATGATAGAGTATATGACGAAAGAATACCTATGGGCGAGGGAAATCATGTTAACTTCGTCCAACAATTTGTGGAAGACGTTTCTTTCTTTAGTTCTCAGTATGGTGACAGTGGCATATTTTCACGTCTCGCTAGGAACATAATTGGATTACCTGACGGATTATCTTATACAGGTTTTGATGATTCATTTGCCATGGTATGCATATATATTTCCTAGCATCATCTGTTATTGTTCTATAGAGAGCGATTGTAAATTGTTCTGTAGTGGATTCTTGAAATGGTTAGCTCATATTTCTTTGTTCATAACTTTTCAAACCTCTCATAAAATCAATAATAAAATTATATGTGATCAGGATTAGCATGGAACGTGCGATTCATTAAACTATAACAATCAGTTACTTGTACATGGAGACATTTAACTACCAATAATAGCATCACCAAATTTTATAGTATTTGACATTTTTTGGGGGTTTATTTTTTAATACAGAAAACTTATGGACCATGGTGGGACAAAGCACCCTCGAGATTAATTGATTACATGCCACAGAATAATACAGATGTTGTGAGCCAAGATTATATCGGTGCGTAATATTTGAATTGTAATAAATAAGAGGTTGTTAAAGAAGATCTGTTACTGTTGAAAGGACAGATTATAATTATATTTTCCATTTTACAGATATCACCTATAGAGAAGCTATATTTCCAATCCGAGTTTCTATATACGAGTTACGTAATCCTGGGAGCGTAATTAGAATTTGGGCATATGATTCGATCAATAAATGGTTTCTCCTGTGGAGCGGACCACCTCAGGTTGTTTCGATACCATCGATACCACGGATATTTTCCCCGCCTTTACAACCGTGTAACTTTAGTACCAATATGCTCAGACTAGAGTTTAACCACAGTTTATTGAACCATTACACAGAGCTAGACGCTGTGTTGCTTATCGGTACAAAACAATTGATTATTCCTAAAGATCAGTCTCACAAACAGAATTTAACTAGTCTGTTGAAGAGCTTTAATGACAAGTATCCTTGCCACGAAAACATCCATAATTTGACACCAGTTTATAAAAACGCACACTCGGATATAGTCCATCTTAAAAGGACATTGAACGAACATTGCATTATGTTTGAAAGGTATTACAATTTGTCAATATTAAGTAATATTTGTTTTTTTTTATTTTCTTAATAATGAAAGTAAGTGTGTACGAATGTTATTTGTAGCGATGTAG